GGACCACTCGTGGCCTTCAGGCAGCAGGTTCCACACCCATGGGCTACAGGGTTTTTTTGTTTGTTTTGCTTTTGTTTTTAATTTCAGAATATTACGGGTATACAGACATTTAGGTTACATATATCCATACTTTTAAAGATGATTTGGCCTAACAGATGCCTTGGAGTCACACATCTGGCCCTGATGCTTATTAGCTGCGGAGCCTCAGCCTAATTATAAAACCCTTAGGGATCTTTGTTCTTCATATAAGTAATGGTCAGAATTATCTGAGTAGAAGATATATAAAGCTTGCATCCTGCATCTTCCACAGAGCTGCCTCTTGGTAACATTTCTGCCTTCCTGCTCTTCCAGTCAAGAAGAGCATCTCTTGTCCACACTACTGGTCCCTCCACCCTTTGGTTGGGCACAGTGATTATCTGTTATTCTGTTCTATTGGAAAGTGCCTTTTGCCTGAAAATAAATAGGCTTTTCTTCATTTGAAAATATGTATTTATTTGTTGGTAGGTATCTCTTTTTGTCAGAATGAGTTATGATTAGGTTTAATAAAATATTAAAAGAAGATTTCAGTCAAGGACAGAGGAAGGTACAACTTGCCTTCCCCAAAAGGGTTATGTGGTTCCCGTGCCTGAGCAGACCGTCTGGCTCCAGGTGATCCGACCGGGCGGCAAGAGCATGTGAGTGAGGCACACAGGCCTCGCTGGCAGAAGCGGGAAGTGCACGTTTGCCGGCCTTGAGTTCCAAGATGTTTGCGATGTTAGCACGTAGAGGGGGAATGCTGGTCAGTGAAACAGACAATGTCCTCAGTGAGAAGTCTCATGCTATCATTTCTTTTTGTTGTTGTTGTCGTTATAAATATTTTAGTATTTTATTTAAAATTTTATCTTTAAAATCTTTTTTTTTTTTTTATTTCAGGAAATCATTTCTTGCTATGACTGTCCAGTGTTTAGCCCTGGGCTCTTGTCAAGACCATTCAATGCTAGTGATTCTGAAAGACCTTCATCTCTGACTTAGGAGGAAAGTAGAGGGCAGTTCTTGAGTCTACAGATTCTTAGGAAACAAACAGTGCCCTTAACCCAGGCAACTTCTGAGATTTCATCTTAACTCCCTCCTGTCGGAGTCCAGGGAAACACAGGACCAAGACAGTTTCTGCTGTGAAGTTCCCACAACCAGAGCCTTCTACTCTGTGGTAGGACAGAGGAGTGAAGCGGGCATGTGACCTCCAGTGCCACTCTACCTCCTGTGCTCAAAAATCTATACTTTGAGGAACCACGAGCTAAAATTAATAACCATATCATTAATGAATGTTTGGTGATCTGCCAAACACCATGATAATTGCTATGGATGTATAATTTTATTTAACCTGTACAGCTCCTCGACACAGGAACTAACATCGCCCCCATTTGACAGAAGAAGAAAGAGAAGCACAGAGACACTGAGCAGGGTGTCCACGGCCACCCGGCTAGTGAGTGCAGGGCAGGGACTTGAACCCAGCTTACTGTGTTGTACCAGATTTACTGCCTCTCAGTTCTAACGTGGTCAGAACCCCCCAAAACACGGATTCATACATGTCTGCAGGAGACTATCCAAGTAGCAGAGTTGCACAAGAGACAGGCAGAATGATGGGCAAGTATCAACTCGGCGGCCTTCTAGCCTAACGAGGCCCAGTCAAGACCTCTGCATTTGTTCCTCCACTTTCCAGGTATGTGAGACTGGAAGCTCTTTCGTATTTGCTCTTGTGAAGTTAATTCCTTAAATCTACTCATCTGTGTCCTATTCACTGTTGGACAGGTTTAAAGGGAGTGTGACCATGGCTCCTGCATGGGGGCACCTGCTCTTTAACCTGTGATGGCACCTGGCAGGCAGGTGCCCATCCCGGTGTGAGGTTTCAGGTGGAAGTGCTTCTCTCTCGAATGGATTAAAGATGTCACGTTCTCGTTAATCTGTGTAAATCTAAATGGAATGTTTTGATGGGGTGATAGGAAATCAATTTCAGCACAGTCTGCTTTGAATTCCTATTTTTAAGCACAGAGCCAGTCACCAGATTTCAATTCCATTTACCAAATACCAAAAAGCCTTTCTTTCTGCACTCCGAAGGATGATTTTGTATTAAACACAGATGGTCCTGCTCCCTAGGGAGCTGAACTAATAAATTTATAATCTAGATGCTAATTTTTTTTGTTCATGAGGTAATTCATTTTTAGAAAATTGGAAAAATTTACAGATCAGGAGCTAACATTTTTTAAACCAAAAAAACCCCTGTAATTATTATATTTCATCTAGAAACAGGTTTATTCTGGTAGAACCTACTCATTTCAACCTAGAAAGGGAAGTTTCATGGTGAAATACACTAGAAGGTTAAATTTAATTCTAAGAATTCAGGTTCCAAAAGATTCTAGCTGGGCATCGGTGGAGGCCTTTGGTGGTATGTGTCTATTTGCCATTCCCCATCCCCAAACTTCTGTGCCCTTTGCCCAACGTCAAGTAAATGTAAATTTTATAAGTCATTTTGATGGGAGTCATATATTCTGAACATTGATTTTTTTCCCAAAGGAAATGAACAGATCAGGGCACACAACTGACTCTGGCTAAATGGCACCACCACTAGCAGCCTTGAGGCACTAAATGGCAAAGAATGGCTCTTCAGGTCCATGGATCTTCTAGCAATTCTGGACTTTTATTCTGCCTGGGTATGCATGGGGACCAGAACTTACCTGGACTGCTCTTCCTGTCCCAAATACAACACTGCATGGCCCACCCTTAAACCAACACCACGCCCCTGTGGTTCTCCAGGGAGCAGGCCACTGTTTACCCTACCCAAGTCTGGAGTGTCTCAGAAACAACACCTACCTTGCCTCCGCCGGGCGTTGAGTTTCCTAAAGCAAGTCCCTTCCACAAGGCGGTTCAGGCGTTGTTGTTTGATCAGCTCTAAGATTTCTGGCTGAATCTTCTCCTTTAGTTCCCTGTTAGAGGATAAACACATATTCCACAGCACGCCTCAAGAAACAGTGCTTGGTTAGTGCGCATCATGGGCAGATGGGCAGGGGAGTGTGAGCTGCATGTTTTCCTGAACATCCCAGTATCTCGCAAGTCGATGCTTCAGAGAACCGTTTATTAAGTGTCAGTGGCCAGGATTATCTGTTACGATAACACTATGGAGTCTCTGACATTTACAAAATATCCACAAAAGCACCAGCTGGTGATTTTTTTCCAGAATAAAGTGTCCTGAGAAATGTCTTCTTTTGGTTTATGAAGCCACAGATATAAACTTATGCGAAAATCCATTCAGCTCTGCCAAGACAATAAATCCTTGGTCAAATTTTTTTTTTTTCCTTGCAGCAGGTAAACTCCCAGACTACATTTGTGATCTCATCAAACAGGAATATTGGGCAACCATGTGGTTACTATTCCACGGCAAACACTGTATCAAGAGCAAACCACAGGACAACCTTTTGCTTTCAATTCCATCACTCACAAATGGGAACAACAACACTTGCCCCAGATTCTAGCCCACAGAGATTGAGATAATGATGGGATAAATTAAAGATTATTTGCATCTTGTCTCAGGCTAATAAGATGTAATTTAGTTTGGGATGCACTATGCTACAAAGATAGATAGAGTGAAATGGTTTCCAAATCTTTTTTTTTTTTTTTTTTTTAATAGCAGAGATTTTTATCCTAGGAAATTGTATGTAGGGTCCTAGCATTTGAGTCTAGCCAGAGATGTTCTAGTTGAAGCTGGACAGGGAGACCCAGAGCCGACCCCTCTGAGCAGTGTTGCAAGTATTGGCCAGAACACAGATCTAGAAGTCAGAAGACTAGTGTTTCAGTCCAGGCTCTGCCCGTGACTAAGCATTTCATGTACTTCAGCTGTCTCAGTTTCCTAAGCTATAAAATAGAGAAAAGAATCTTTTCTGGAAACTGCTATAACTCCCAAAGGAGACAGTGTGAGTACAAGTCTCTATTAAGCATTGAGTGAAAATGTAAGGTGTTACTGAATTTGCTTTGGTAATATTCTCTCCTTTCCTCAGGCCAAACAATCTGTATGCCCAAATTACACTGCAGTCAAGGCTCACAAATTCATCAGCCTCTGTCTTAACTCTGGACTTGCCCCGACCCTGGGATGCAGGCAACCTGTTCTCAGGTGGTGCTCCCTCCCTAGGTGGGAAAGGCACTAATGCTTAGTATGTGCTGGCTATGAGCCAGGTAGTGCACTGTGCAATTTTAGCTTAATTAACCTCTTTTCCCCACCTCTCACCCACAAAAACCACTTTTAGAAACAGGTATTAATATCATCATTCCCATCTTACAGATGGGGAAACAGTTCACGGAGGTTAAGTATAGAATATGGGCACAGACTCAGGTCTTCCTTGTGCAAGTTGCTTCTATTTATGCATGAGAAAAAAAGGAAAAATAGTTACATAAAAGGATCTGGCCATCTACCAGAGTATTCTAGTTATTCTAGTACTCCATTAATACATTTTTTTGAGACTTAAATGGCATCAAACATCTTGTCATTTGATACTGCTCCAACTGAACATCTATAAAGCATGAAATGGAAATTCAGCCTTAATAATGCAGCTTGGAATATTTGTAAAGCCTTCCATGTGCAGGTCGCTTAGGGTCTCATCTCAGGCTTTCAGATCACTAAAACTATTATCAGTGTTCAGCTCTTGTAAAATGGACTCAGTAAATTGCAGCTTTGGAGACCCTGCACTGAATGGAGAAGAAGGTGGGAACCGCCAGGGCAGTCACCGTGGCAATAAATCACTGTCCTGACTTCCAAGTCTGGACGACTGGGCAGAGAGGAAGGGACGGCACCAGAAGACAGAGAAAACACGGTTATGAGAAAGAGTTTTGAAATTTTATTAGTTTTTAGGTCAGAGATGTATCTTTAAATAACAGTCTTGCTAGGCTAAGGCTGAGTTATTAAAATGAAGAGGAGGATGCAGAGATGAGGACCAAAAGGAGGAAATGATGGAAAGAATTTCCGAGTAATCCTAACTGATGCTGTATGACTTTTCAGTGTAAGACCCAGAGGTGCTCGTCATGACATACTTCATCACGGAACCGTCTTCTGGGACACGCCACCAGAATAAGTAAATCTGCTGCTATAAGAGTTACCCTTATTTTGTTAAGAACCCCAAGGATTCCAACACATGATCAGGCAATGAGGGAAACAGGACAGCTTTTTCTCTTTCTAAGCAATTTCCTCTTCTTTCCTTGCAGATGAACTCAGTAGCTATAAAATTCACACATATTGGGAAAATATACGTAATCCCTACAATATGTTTCCATGGCTGAGCTCTGACCTCCGGGGTAAGTCAGATAATAATACCATGGGCTATGACTAGGTTTTGAAATTCTCAGCTTGGGGTCAGTGAGGCCAGGGTCATGGGTTCACTGGCTTTGCTTTGATAAATATCCTTCTAATTCTACCCAAAAGCCTTGCAAGTACATAAAAGGAGGAAGATTAAAGGAGGGAGGATTTAAAGAGTGTGTGAAGAGCAATTCAAAGTCTAGCACTGTTTCTGGAAAACAATTTCAAGTCCAGGCTCAACAAGGTCACTGCCACACAGAGAAGGCAGACGGCACCATGAGACTGGTGAGATTCCGTCTTTGACTCGGGGTCTGCCCTACTGAGCTACTACCCACTGTCCATCTAGAACAGGGGTTGGAAAACTTTTTCTGTAAAGGGCCAGATAGGAAATACTTTAGGCTTTGTGGGCCATATGGTTGGTGTCTGTCTCAACTACTCGACTCTGCCCTGATAGAGTGAAAGCAGCCATCAAGAGCTCATAAACAAATGAGTGTGGCTGTATCCCAATAAAACTTTATTTACACAAACAGATAGTGAGCCAGGTTTGGCCCAAGAGCCATAGTTTTCTGACCACTGATCTAGAAGGGTAACATGGAGAGTCTGGGCTAAGTGACAGTGTCAGTTTTGTGGAAATTAATCTGTTTCTGTCTCAACACTGGTGTGCCTCAGGTCTCAGTCCCTGAACCTCTTCTGTTCTTTACTTTATAGACTCATGACTCTAAATATATACTTTATGCTGACAACTCCCAAATGTGTATTTCCAACCTAGACCTCTTTGCTGAACTCCAGACTCATTTGTCTGACTGCCTACTCAGATGTCTCCTGGCTTGATGTGTCCAAAGCTGAACTCCTGGGCCCCTTGTCCAGACCTGTCCACTCACTCTGTCCTTTAGTTGTCAACTTCTCTCTTTCTCTCATACCCCACATCTAATCAATCAGGAAATACGATTGTCTCCTATCTTCAAAATGTGTCTGACTTTTAGTAGATACTCTAAATTGGAAGTTTTTGAAATACCTTCCTCACTGATCTCCCAGCTTCCAAGCTTGCCTCCTTAGAGTCTACTAGTAATACAGCAGCCAAAGGGATTAGTTAAAAACCTAAGTCAAATCACATCTGTTCTCTGCTCAAAATCCTCCAATGGCTCTCTAACAAGGCCTTGTGTAAGAGGCTCCCAGTATCTTTCTGGCCTCATCTGCTATTGCTCTTCCACTTAGTAATTCTGCTCCAGCCACACTGGCCTCTTTGTTATTCACTGAACACCGAGACCTGCTCCAACCTCAGGGCCTTTGCACTGGTGGTTCTCTCTGTCTGGAACACCCTTCTCCTAAATATCCACATGGCTTGTTCCCTTAGTCCCTTATTTGTCTTTACTAAAATGTCCCCTTCCTAATTAGAGAGATCTACTCTAACCACTCTACTTAAAACTGCAAACTCTTTCTCTATCCTTCTCTGTGTCCCCATTACATGTCTCCCCTCTTAAAGTGCTGTCATCTTATTTACCAGGCTGTCTGTTTTTCTCCCCACTAAAATATAATCACCATGGGGGTGAGGATTGTGTCTGTTCTCTTCACTGCTGAAACACCACACACAGAGCAGAGGCTGGCACGCAAGAAATATCTGTCAAGTGTGTGAACACTGAATATTGTATAGCTGACCAGCTTGTCCTACTTGCATTGCTTATGAGAAAGCTTTGAGCGAAGTCTGTGGTTGATCTTTAGCAAGAGTACAGATTTGCAGGGTAGGTATCGGTTTTATTCCTGGCTCTATTTGGTTTTACTTTTTTCTTTCTCACCTGTTTCCACTGTAATTTCTAAGACAAGGTGAGGTATATACAAATACATTAACAGTGTCAGTTTTAGCATTTACATATTAACAGCATCACAACTTGTTAAATTCTCTTTATAGACTAATAAGAGTGACTGTTTCTTTGAGTGGATATTACATGCCAGCTGTATGCTGAGTGATTATCATGCACTGCTTTGTTGACTCCTCATAACAAGCCAATGATGCAGACACTCAGCATTTTCAGAGATGAGAAAAGCAGGCTTAAAATGGGTTACATAACTTGCCTAAAGAGTCACACTTGTCGGTGGCAGCTAGCACTGGAATCTGACAGCAGGTCCGTTGGCAACCTGAGTCCGGGTGTCACACGTTTTGCTTCCCTGCTTTACCGCTGTTTGTCCTTGCGTCTTTCCTTCCCCTCCAACGTGGTGTTAAATGACCTATTTTTGGACTCTTCAAGCTTTTTATATCCATTAACTCAAACTAATTGTGTGGATGGACTTATCTTCCCTGTTAAGTCACACTAAGTAGGAAATAACAAAACCTCCTCTTTGAAATAATTAATCAAGAGCTAAGAAATAAAACAGAGCTCCTTCAACCCACTGAATATATTAATACATTCCCCCAAAATATTTGGCCATGTGGAGTTAACATTTTTCTTCTCAGGAAACATAAACATTTTATAACAATCAAGTCTGTGGCTCAAGGTGACCGCGTGGAACTGAGGTTTGCTGCCATGCTGTGTGGGGGCAGGAGAGTGCCGTGGGGTCCGACAGGCGGGAGGGCTGGCCCTATGGCCAGCGGGGTTCCTTGCTGGTGGTCAGGCCCCAGCCACGTTGTTGTCCCTGCCTACAAAATGAAAGCTTCAAGTGGACAGCCTTGTGAGTGCTCTTTGGCTGTAAAATTCCAATATCCTAACCCCCAGCTTGGGTTAGATATGTCTCCCATGTGCTTTTACAACAACCTACATGTGGTAGCTTTTAAAACCTGGGATAGTAGGGGATCAAGTGTCTCTGGGTCTCTGCCTGTCCCCAGAACCTTGAGCAGGGCTTGGCATGTAGGAGTTGTTCAATACATGTTTGTTAAATGAGTGAATGAATGAAAACAAGCACACGTGGTCTATTCCTTTCTCTTAGGTAACTTGGGTTTCTCATGTGAGCCACTTTGGTAGCATTTAGATTTTATCTAACCTCACAATGAGTTCCTGTCTAGTAGATCACTCTAATAGACAAAACATATCCCAGCTCCTGTCTGCTGTTTTGAGAGGTGGGGATAATGATCAAACTGGTCCCTGACCTTCCCATTTAAATGCTGTGGCTTCGGCAAATCTTCATGACTTCGGTGCAACTATATATGCCAAGGACCCCAGTGGGCCATGGTGCTTCTCAGTCCATGGCTGAGGGAAGATGAAAAAGCTACCTCCAAACAGACTTCCTTTATATTTGCATTGCTTCTCCTTACATAAGAAATGTAAAGATTGAAAAAAAAAATGTAAAGAAAAGAGCTTCTCGTAATAAAGGAAAAAGAAACTTCAGAATGTCACAGGCAGAGCCTTAGGAAGTGAAGACATAAAGCCAAAGCAGGAGCAAAATGTTCACACTTGACATGCAGTTAACATTCTTACTTGGAACAAAGTCACGATCAAACATTAATTTAGAATCACTTGGCCTTAACTGAAGTGATTCCTCAAGTCTCCCTGTAGGCTTTAAGAATTATTGTCAAAGTGTAATAAAATGTCTTTGTGTTTACACATCTGCTGAAACAGATGTTATGAAATCCAGTGTTTCAGTGCTGTAGGCCCTAGGGTGGGAGAAGGAGTCACTGTCCCTCCTTGCAGGTAAGAAACTGCATCCCCAAGGAGACAGTTCCTTACCCGAAGTGTTTTCTGCTCAGTGTTTCTGGCTTTTTCCATCTTCTGGCTGAGGACCAGTGCAAAACCCCAGCAGTGCTTCTTGTAAGGGCTGGCTGGTGCTTATGGGGCATGACTTACATTTTGTAATGATGGAAGCCAAAGCCCCTTGGAAGCATTTTCCCTCCCCTGCTAACTTCATGCCGACTAATGCCTGCAGTTCTACTCTGCAGTTTCTAACAGTACTTCTTAGGATTTGAAAACAAATGTGCAGTAGGTGTTATAGCCTGGCTATTGTCTTTTCAGACCTGTGCATTTTTTCAACCTCATTTCAGTCTCTCACGTGGCAGATCCAAGTTCAAGTCCCAGCTCCTCTACTTGTTAGCAAGGTCCTCACCTCTCCACACTATATCCTAATCTTTGAATGAAAATGAGACCTGCCTATCTCATAGGAATGCAAGGAAATGAAATAACATGAGGGGTGCTTTGCAAATTGCCAAGCATGAAAAATGTCAAATATTTGAGTGCAAGAAACGGACAGAGAAAGAATCAGAAACACAGAGAGTACACGTGTGTGTTGGGCGGGGGGGGACTGTGTGTCAAAGAGGGCTTCAGAATCGCACCTATGCTACAAGTTGGCTTCATACAAAAGTTTAAAAGAAGCTGTGTCCAGTCTTCTGAGGACAGAATGAGAAGCACCTTTCCCTATTTCCTTCTCTTTAAAATTTAAGGCTAACAAAACAGACCTAGCTCTTAGAAAAGGACAAAGGAAGATAAACAGCCCAGTTCTTAGAAAAGATGAAGCGTGCAGGCCGGGCGCAGTGGCTCATGCCTGTAATTCTAGCTCTCTGGGAGGCCGAGGCAGGCGGATTGTTTGAGCTCAGGAGTTCGAAACCAGCCTGAGCAAGAGCGAGACCCCGTCTCTACTAAAAATAGAAAGAAATTAATTGGACAACTAAAAATATATAGAAAAAATTAGCCGGGCATGGTGGTGCATGCCTGTAGTCCCAGCTACTCGGGAGGCTGAGGCAGTAGGATCGCTTGAGCCCAGGAGTTTGAGGTTGCTGTGAGCTAGGATGACGCCAGGGCACTCTAGCCTGGGCAACATAGTGAGACTCTGTCTCAAAAAAAAAAAAAAAAAAAAAAAGATGAAGCATGCAAAACAGTCCTCAAGTGTGAGGCTCCGAACAATTTAAAATGGAGATACGTGACATTTTGCAATGGTTGTAGGTGCATCTGATGCAACGTCCTGTAAAAGGAGGACCTGCTGTCTCCCCACCCTAGGCCTCTAGGTTTGCAGTCATGAGGACCAGGAGCACGCTCCGATGCCAGCCAGTGCCTGATCAGGGAGAAGGTGGCGCTCTCTCCTCCCCTCAAGCTCTTATCCCCACTCACTCAGTCACACTCGTTCCATCTGCATATTGCTTTAATTCTTGGTGGGCCTCATTCTGGCTGGATCAGATCATCTTGCCACTTAAAGGGCACCCGCATGGAAAACAGTTTCGTTGGCAAAAAAAAATTTGTTCCAAGTGTTGGAAAAGGTCCAAAACCTTTTAGCTACAGATTCCCGGAGGACTTGTCAGTAACTGGGTCAGTTCCTGGTTCAGACCCATTCTGCCTGCACCTGGCAGCCCACCCACTCAGCCCACCCCGCCCGGCTCTTTCTAACGGAGCTGCTGAGACCCCCTAACTAAACCGAGATACTTTAGAATGTCTTCTGTGGGCTTTCCCTAGTGAGCTCACAACACAGCCCATCTCTGAGATCAGGGATCACTCTAGAAATGGTGGGTCACGGACAGCTTTTGGGGAGACAGAGGTCAGTACCGGGTAACTTACAAAATCGGGCGAGACTGGAAGTCTTCCTGGTTCATCCTCTCAGACTGGCGGATTTTCAGGATCTCGGTGTAGCTCAGGTTCTGCAGTTTGCTCTTGAACTGGTCCAGAGAGCTAGGCTTGGTTGTAAGCGCTCTCATAACCTGCTCCTTCACCACCTGCATTACCTGTAGGTGAAGGGAAGACCATCATTTGCCTGGGGGCTGATCTCTCCCGTTCAGAAAAGCCCTCCAGAGCTAATGGCCTCCTGCCTCCCTGGTCCCATCTGCACTCTCAGTCAAAATCTTGAGCATGCTTTTCCAAGGAGTACACGTCCATTTTCACGTCTTCCATTTTCTCTTGCACTGTTGGAACCACAAGGAAGGAATTGGATTGACTTAAGTTGGGCAGGGGAGGGTGGGGTGGGGTGGGAGGTGTGCTCCATTTGCCTGATATATTATGTGACTGCTGACACAACACTGTAAACAATGCCAACTCAAGAGTCAGGAAGGAATGAAGGCCAAGCAACAGCTAGAAGCCTGCATAGTAATTATTTTTTTCTAGGAGAAAATTGCTGAGATACAATTAACTGTGGAAGTTTTGCTGGCACCGGTTCAAATGAATGTGAACAGATACCCACACCCGCCCCTCCCAGACTGTTTTCCCCGTGTAGTTAAGGCCTGAGTGTTCATACAAATTACGCATTTGGAAATGTGCATGTGGTATTGCCTCTTTGAGCCAGGCACTAAAAAAAGAGGTTTATTAAATTAGAACAGACATATCCCATTGGAAGCATCAAGAAAAAAGAAGGATATGGTAATTTGCTGCCTCAGGACAGGTCTAGCCTACAAGGAGGCAATTAACCACTGCTTCCATTAATGTGGATTCATCTTCCTCCAAATACATAAAGCAGGAAAAGACCAGAGAACACAAAGAGGCATCCAAGGGACTTGTAATTTTGCTGCGTCTTTTTTCACCCTCCATTACAGATGAGAACAAATGTTACCATTTATAAACTATCTACTATGTGCCAGATGCTATGGTAGGTACTTTAAATATATGTTTTCTCTCTTTATCCACTCAGTCTAATCTATGCGGTAGATATTACCATCATCTCCACTTTACATATGAAGAAACTGAGGCTTCGAAACATTAAGAGACTTCAGGATCGTACATTTGGTTGGTATGTGGCTGAGCTGGGGTTTGATCCCAGGATTGTAACCACTCTACTACACTGCCATCCATGGCACCATTCTTGGTGTCGTTTGGGAACTTAAAAATAAGACAAAACCACATACGTGCCTCTGCTGTATGTTGAGTTCTGTGCCAGGCACTTTGCTGTTCCTCACTTCATTTAATCCTCCAACAGAGTAGATGTCATTACGACTATTTTAAAGGTAAGAAAACTGAGGCTGAGAAAGGATTGATGACTTGCTAAGATCACACATGTGTAGTTGAATCCTAGGATACCAAGTAGCCCAGTATGATGCATACAGCACAGACTCGATGTCGAGCAAATAAGCATAAGATGTGGGTTTTGCCTTCTGTGGACTAATGAGAGAGGTAGACAAGGCCAAAGATCATTGCAGTAGAAGCATGGACATGGTAGAGAAGACAGTCTGATGGATTTTGTAGGCAGGTGGGGAGGGATTTCAATGAAGAAGACATTTCATGTGAGTTTTGAAGGAAAAATGGGTGCTCAATCGGGGTGGAAATAGATGAATAATCTGCAACGCCACCACATATTAGCCACTTTGAACTTGGCCTACATCTGAATTGGAACCTTACAAAAGCATCGTTTCACGACCCCAGTATAATGACATACAGGAAAACTTACAGTTGACTTTCCACCTGATCTGCTTCTTTTTTTAACTGATGCAAAATGCTAAATGTGGGGTGCTTGACAAGCTTTGAAATTGTGACCATCTTACATCATGTGGCATAAATGATGGTTAAATTTGGTCAAGACTGAACTATTAATACAATGCTCTACTGTCTCATACGAGGGGCCACACAGGGGCTGCCTCTCTCCCCATTAGAGAGACTCAGATTTGAGCCAAGGAGATCATTATTGTCTCCCAGTGATATCTGGCTTCTTGTGGGAGGTAAGACATGTACAAGAGACAAAGAGAGATCAGAATACCAAAAATGAAGATGTCATTTTTAAACAGAATCAAGTTAAAACTAAGAGTTTTGGAGCTATCTTTACTCCCCTCATTTACCAGATGAAGAAACAGAAGTTCAGAGGGACAGGTGATTTCCTCACTTTGTGTGTTTTTTAGGGGACTATCACAGAGATGACCATGCTCCCAACACATCAGCCTGGACACAATGATTAGTCTAGCAAGTGGCCTATAATCTGAACTGACCAACCAGCATCCTTCCCCAGAATTTTCCAACTTGACTTGAAGTAGAGCTGAAGCATGTTCTTTTTCCCTCAAATTGAGAACTATATAAGACTATGTCTCTTAACATATGGGACAGTGGAAGATAGTGAGACCAATGACAATAGAATGAGAGAGAAGAAGACAGAAATGTTTGCCTGAAAGAGTGTTAATAATGGTTAAGCCTTATTCAACCATAAAGTCAGCTCAACCCTTATATTTGGTGATTTGGTTACATAAGCCTTTTTTTTTTTTTCTTAAGATGGTTTGAATAATAGTATGAATGGTTCTTGTCACTTGCAACCAAAGAGCCACAAAAAAATATATATAGCGAAGTCCAGGAGGATTACCAGCTTATGGGGTTAAGGTTGCCCAGGTAGGGGAGAATGAGCACAGAGAAGCTGGATAGAAACAATAAAGCTACTTCAATAAAAAATGACTTTTAAAAATTACCTTCATTTATATGCTAATGGTTGTACCTTTTCCATGAAAATGATGATGATTTCCTTATGGAATATGGAGAACTCTTCAACTTCTACTTATATTTTGTGTTTAAAATCCACTGTTAGAACTTCATTCCTCAAGCCTAAGACTTTGATCTCTGCTAGATGCAAGAATATCTAAGTAGAACAAGCCTTTAAATTCCCCCCGAATCACTTATACTTCAGTTTGAAGAAAGTGCAGAACCTTTCCTAAGACTAGGCTAACAGCAGAAGGATGCACACAGGCACCCGGCCACAGGGGAAGGGGTGCAAGCGGTGGGGATACAGCACAGAGGTTGGTGGAGCCGAAGACTCCCTCTGTCCGCAACACTTCACAGCTTTGCTTGGCAAAGGCCCTGAGAAGTTCTATGGACACTCTGTATGTCAAGGAAAATAACCTCAGTGAAAGACGTCATTGATTTTTTTAAGATAAAATAGTTATATAAGTCAAATATTTCTCTGTGCCTTCGCAAAGTAGTTTCTTCAAGGTTTCCAATTAATGGCTTTGCATTTCAGTTAATGTTCCACGTGCGTAATTTAAATCAAGACGTTCACAACCACCATGCATAACTCTGTCCTCTTCGGAAAATATCAGACCTTTTACCATTTGTTTGAAAAATCCAGAGACAGTGCCACAGAAAAATCACCAGAAAATCAATGCAGTTAAATTTTTTAGTTATAGGATGTGCTTTGCCACAGCTATCAAAGAAAACATGCTCTTAGAATCTGCATTTGCTGTTGGTATTGACCCATCATCCAAGCAATGTCTGGACCATGCTGGTGGTCTGTTTCTGGAGTCTTCCCAGCATATGTTCTCTGGAATAATGTTGTACATTACAAGAAAAAGTGTGAGTCCTAGAAGACATTGGTATTTCAAATGGAGAAAACCTTTTGGCTCCTTGGAAGACGGGGTTAAAGGTGAAAGGGCAGGGGACTCCTGAAGGGAATCAAGCATGCTAGCAAAGTAGTCTAACTGTGCCCCTGGTTTTGTTGTTGTTCACTTAAATGTGCTCCTGTATTTTATTCCAAGATCTACTGAGCCTCCCTGTGTTCCTAGTTTAATCGCTCCTCCAGTCCTGCCTTTATACCTACAGTCTTCATCCAGCATCATTCATCCATTCATTCAACACAGGTCTTCAAGCACCTACTCGGTGCACGGCACAAAGACACTGGAGACCTTGTGCTGAATGAGCTCTCGGCCTGGGAAAGTGGATGAGACCTCTCCATACCTGCCTCACTCAAGGGAGGACAAGATGTCACAGGGGAGCTAGGGGCCATGTGTCCACTGCACACATGCTTACAGAGCCCCTCTCACGCACGTGCTGGCAGGCTGAGGGTGCAGCACCACCACCGTGGCTAGGGCCTGCAGAGAGGCCACCTGTACACACGCGGAGAAGTGCACTGGGAGGGGCTGTTCTCAGTGGGAGCAACGGTGTGAGCAAAGGCTCGAGGGAGGAGGGGAGCTCAGCTGCGGGTGGGGAAGAATGTATGGTAGTCTAGTCTCCTTTAGTTGGAGAAAGGAGGTGGAGCTGCAAGGTGTGGTTCAAAGGCAGCCTGGGCCAGACGGGGGTGGCTTTGATGGCTAAGATGAAAAAGTTAGACTTTTTTTTTCCCTGTAACTAAGGATAAGTCACCAGATTTGGGTGTGTGTGTGATGGAATTCAGTAATGGAAAGTATATTGGGACACATGCAAAGCCGTCATTATTCCTGCTCTACTTGGGGTAAAGAGAGGATGTTAGAGAAGTCTGCATGGCTGTGACAAAAGTTTTGCTGAGACTTGGAGGATGAATGAGAGTTACTGAGGCGAAGAAGAGGAGAAGGGAATTCTAAGTAGAGGGATAGCATGAGCAAAGGCAGGGTGGTAGGGAGTGCATGTCTCAGGCATTAAAGAAAATACGCTTTTGGAGTCTACGCCAGTAGATTTCAGTGAACAGACAGGGAGGGCTTCAGTATGGCTTCACCTTTAGACCCAATACACATGACTTTGAATCCAGGCTGTATGTTTCCTGGGTCTGTGACCTTCCTCAAGATACTGAATCTCTCCAAGACTCATTTTCAGCATCTACACACTGGGAGTACTAATAATTTAGAACTCATGGAGTTGTAAATTAGGGAATGCCTGACACCCTTTAGGGCACATTGTGGGTATCTGACAAACATGAGCTCCCCTTCCTGTGCCTCAGTTTGCTCACAGGGTAGTTGTGAAACCTAAACAACATATTACAGGCAAAGGACCCGACACACTGAAACATACGAGACATTCAATAAACGTCGATTCTGTTACCCTCCCAGAAGGAAATTTCTTATGGCAGAGGTTT